CCCGGTACAGCTGTGGGATCCGGTGTAGAGAGCATGGCGTCCCTCGCAGCCGTCAATGTGTCCTGCTGCGAAATCAGCATCTGCTGCTGCTGCTGCTGCTGCTGTTGCTGTTGCTGTTGCTGTTGAATGAGCGCCATGATCATCTCGGCAGGCAACTGCGGCACCATTCCCCCGGCGTTTGCCGGCATCTCAGGCTGTAGCAGCTCCCGCACATCTACTGCCTCAAAGCGTCGCCGGCCAGCATCGGCTCTTCGCGACACGCTAGAGGAGGAGGACGACGACGACGCCCGGGATCGTGAACGCCTGCGCCCTCTGCCCTTCTTCGCCACCTCCTTGCTACCCGACCGTCCTCTGCCCGTCCCGTGCCGCCGCCGTCGCTGCTCCTCGCTCTCTGAACGCCGCCTGGCGCGGTGGCGGTCACTGTCTCGCTCCTCGCTGGCACCACGACGCCCACTCCGCGGGGAACGTGAACGCCGTTTCCCAGCATAACGCCCGTAGCGTGTGGAGGTCTTCGAGGTGCTGCTGCCGCCATCGACGGCGCCATGCCGGTCAGAGGCGGCATCGCCGCGCCGGGCGTAGCGATCCCCGCGACTGTCACGCCCCATTATCTATTTCCCTTCGCTTTCTCTCCTCGGTGGGATGTGTTATCCCCAGCCGGGTTCCGTGACGAAAGAACAATGCAAGCGACAAGGTGAAAAACGGAGTCATACACACGCAAAAAGTAAAAGTAAAAAAAAAAAACAATTCACCAAGCCTCGGCTAAAAACGTGTAGAGAAGGGATCAAGTTCACAGGAGCGGCGAGCTGCCGGCACGGTAAATGGCGGTGAAGAGTGCCTAGAAGCTAAGCAGCACCAAGCACACCCGCAACACACGTTTCCCACGCAATAACACCTACTTTTCGCTTGTTTCCACTTTTATTGTTGTCCTCTTCGTCGTCTTTTTTTTTCGTTTTACGGCGCCTATTCGCATGAAATCAGTTCAACAATATTAAACTCGTTTTGCCTTTTGATATATAAATAAATAAATATGCGTTGTGTTGGGGTTGGTGTCAATATTCTAAATCACATGCTATTTGATACACAGGGGTCTCTGTTGTTGTTGAAGCCATTTCCTCGTTTGCATTTCCGTGTTTACCTTCGTCCCGCGCCTCCCCTCCACTCCATGCGTCACTGAAGACGAAGGTAGGATGCATACCGTCGTAGATGCTCGTGCACGGCAGGAATAGGAACAGCCATGGAACGTTGCCGGCGCACGTGTTCCACGCATAGATCAAGAATTGATGTGGGCTTGTGTGCCATGGAGTCCGTCTCCTTAACGTGCTTGTCTATGCAACCTCCCCCTGCATCTGTACATGCATCTCCCACAGCCGCCGGCAGCGGTGGGGGTGTCACTGTGGCCGATGCATCTGCAGCCATGCTATCGGCGGGGCCTGGAACTGCATCCCGATGCCGAAGAACGGCAGAAAGATATGAAGCAATGGGCTGCTGATGCTGTTGTTCCTCTCCCTCACGCTTCGCTGCCATTGAGGCACCGGCCTCTCGCACAACCGGGAGTGTACCGCGTGACAGGAATACAAGCCAAAGTAGATACGCGGCTGCTAGACCGCTGGAGCGGTGCATCCCAGCCGAACAATGCACGAGGGAGCAGCCACCTCCACCCGGTGACGGCAGGCCGTGAGACCCACAAAGTGGTGAGGCATCAAAGGAAAAGAACGGGGTGCCGTGCAGAAAACGAAAGACGCCCTCCTGAAAGTGTTTAGAAATATCATACGATGCTCGATCTTCGGCAGGGAGAACCAGTTTGGCAACCAATCGCTTCGAGTACGGAAGTTCTGTGGTGTAGACCATGTACGGACCAAAGCTTCTATGCGGATCCCACACCAAAGGAGTGAGACACTTTCTGAAGAGCTCGTGGGCCAACTCCCGCTCTTCGCTGCAGAAGAAGAGGGTCTCTGCCTCCTCCACTCCTTGCGGGCTGTTCACTCCCGCATCCGGCCCCTCCAATAGGAGTCGACACCAGCAATAAAGCGAATTTACAGCCATGTCCTTGCCATACCCAATGGATCGTGGATCACTGACGCCACCCGGAGGCAAATTGGCATGACACTGCAGTACCCGTGTGATGCGAAGGGTCTCAAGCAGCAGCGGCTGCGACACGGGCTCCCTCCCTGAAATGTATACTTGGGCGCACAACGGTTTCCAATCCACATCCTTGTGGCCATCCCCAGCCTGGTCGCACTGGAACGCGTCAACAAGAAGTGACTGTGTTGTGCGCCGCTCCAATTCCCTCTCGCTCCCCAACACATGTCGACGCATAATCGCTTTGAACGCCGCAAGATGACGGCGCACAAAACCAAGTGCACGATATTCCAGTGCAGAAAGCGAACGCGATGGGCAATCATGCAGAGCATGCTGATCCTGATGCCGTAATTTGGCAACCACAACAATAAGGAAGCTTTGAAAGAATAAGCGAAGAAAATCACGCATGGTGGCCGGGCGAGGCCGCTGCGCATTCGTCTCCGTCGATTCCTCCGACGGCATGGCAACCTCCAGGGCAATTTCATTGGCGTTGGGGACAATACTAACAACTGTATCGGAAATCGCGGCAACTGGAGGACCATCGTGGGCTTCAAGACGGCGATGCGGCGTGTGTAGCATGTCAATCTCTTCCTCCTCCGTCAGATACGTATCATACGCTTCTTCCGCCATTCCGACTGCGTCGATGTCGTGCGGCACCCGTGCGATGGCGTCTTCTTTCCCTCTGCTGTCTTTATTGCGCCCCTTGTTCTTCTCCACCGCCTCCACTTCTTCATCCTCCTCCCCATCGTCACCGTCCCACGCCGCCGGGGCCTCATACAGGAACGTTGAGTAGAGACGTAGCTGCGTTGTGCGACCGCGTCCGATTTTTCGTCGCTTGCTGCGACGGCTCTGATGACCGCCAGAAGGACAGTTTTTGTTCCTCGCCCGCGCCCGCGGCGTTGATTCGACCGTCAAAAGCGCCTCCTCGAGCGTTGGAAAGGCTGCCCTGACGAGCGTGTCCACCCGCGCCTCCTCCGCCACAGACATCGCCTGTTGCTGTTGCTGTAGCTGCTGGGGGCAGGGGAGGTTGTGAAGAGCGCCGTGGCTGTGAAGCGGGTTCTCCGCCTTGGCCAGCAACACCTCCAGGAGATCAACGTTCCATGTCATGGCGGCGAAAAGAAACGCAACATCCTCCTCGTCCATCAGCAGACTGCCCGCGTGGCGGGGGCCCGGGCCACCGCATGCGGCGCCGCGAGGGTCCTGCGGAGGCGCGACGACGGAGGCGCTCGTTCTTCTCGCCGTGGGAGGCAAAGCCGGGTGACACGGGCCCCCGCTCCTCGGCGTCCCACCTGTCGCAAGCGGCGGGAGCTGCAGGTTCCCCGCCCCCGCGGCGGCCGCCTCGTGTGCGGTGGAGGTTTCTGTCATGTGAAGAGTAGATGCAGTCAACACAAGTGAGGCGCCCTTCCGGCGGCCGCTGCAGTTGATGCTGCGTGCGTTTCACCTTCGAGCCCTCCCTCTTCCACCGACCGTGGCCCTCCCTTCACGCAATAAATTGTGTTGTGCAGTGCGCGGTGCAGCGAGAGCAGGCAAGTGTGGTGCGGGCCCGCAGCAAAAGAGCAGAAGCAACAGACAAAGCAAACGTGTCCAGCACTCGCAAGTCTCAGCGGAGCACGCAGGCAACAGGAACAGAAAATAATAATAACAGCAATCACACCGCGCGGCAGAATTGGGAGGAGGCGAACAACAAAGTAAGACTTTCGCACTTGCGTGGTCACCCGCACAGCTCCCAAGAAACCAAAAAAAAAGAGAGAGAGACATATATATATATATATATGATAAAAAAAATATGGCTTGCTCCAATCACTCCAAAACACGCACGCATACACGCAGAGACACACCAATACACGGAGCAAACAGTAGTGAGCCAAGAAAATCGAAGACGCAAGAAAGACAAAAAGTTCCCCACTCACTCACTCACTTTCACACACATACACATACATATACAAATACACAATCACACTATTTTTAAAAAAACTGAGCAGAGACACGAGAACCATATCTACCTTTTCTGGTCCTCCACAATGCACGGCAACGTCATAGAGAGGAGTGAGGGGCCAGGGAAGGGAGGAAAACCACGCAGGCCATCCATATGACGCCCTCACGCACGATGAGGACTCCTTGCCGAGCGCCGTTGTTGTTGCCGGTGTTGGTGCTCCCTGTAATTCGCTGCGGCACCCGCATTGTTTTTGGCGTTGTGAATCAGCCACTTATTCAACATGATGTCGTCGTAAATAACCAAACATATCAAAAGCATGTACGCGTACACGGTCCAGTGGCCATGACCCTCCCGAAGCAGCTTCCGCAGGTAGTAGACTTGCCAGATCCAGTTAGTGGCACAGCAGAAAAAGTACACAACCACAGCGACGAAGGAGAGTACACGTGCGACGTTGGGCGACACCCCAAGAAAGCGCGACGCGAGTAGCACATTCACGCAGTACGCAAACGTCGAAAACGCTGCATAGACAACAACACAGCGGCAGATGTTTTCCTGCGAGTAATCATTCATGGTGCTAAAAAAGTTAAACAGCAATACGCACAGGTGGTGAATCCAGGTTGACCAACTCATCCGCTTCACCACGATCATGGAAACAAAGTCGGGAATGGTGTAAATGCAGCCAAGATTGCGAAGTGTATTTGTATCCCAGACGTCAAACATAATGATACTTCCGAGGTGTGAAGTGGCAAAAGGAACCAGCGAGACGAGAATACCCGCCTTTATGAGGTTCGCAATGGTGTAAAACTTCTTGTCGTGAGATATGCGAGCGAAAGAGAGCGAGTAACGCTCTAGAAAATAGTACGTCATGTAGTAGGTGGAGAATATGATATAGGTCCCAATCACAAACAGGCCAAGTTGATCGCGAGTCTCGAGAACATGATACTGCAGAAACTGTACCACCACCCAGTTCATTGCCGCCACGCAGCAGGAGACAACGAGCGCAGGACGGTTATCCAGCGTCGCCTCCCAAGGATACGTCCCCTCCCCAACGTACGCGCGCACAAACGAGGTGGGGCTAAATGTTGGTAATGCTGGGAAGAGCGATGCGCCGGTCCTCCCGATAGGAGGGTCTTCTTCTACCGACCCGCTCCCCTGCTGTCTTTCTTCTTCTTGTTTTTGTTGAGGAGGCTGTTCTTGATACTGTGGGTGCCGCCACTCTTGCCGTAGATCCACGCCGGGTGTCACAGTACCATATTGTAAGGTTGCCTTGGAATGCAGGTTAGGCCCCACATCTGCTGGCAACGATTGCTCCTGTAGATTGTGATAATGCTTCTGATGGTGAGGATGATGTTTGCGCCGTTCATGCAATGTAGGCAACCCCTCACTTCGAAGCAGAACACGTGGCGTGTCCGCATCAAGGTTTGAATGGGCTGGTTGCAAGAAATCATAGTCATTTGCCTGCATGGCTTGTGGAGCGGGAGTATTTTGAACGCGTGGTTCCATGTTTTCGTACTCCCCCCCTCTTTGCGCCCCAGCAACTACGGGGCCGTTACCGTCCGTGGAGGGTGTATGAAGGCTCCGGCAGCCGGGGCGGAGTAAGTGATGTATTGGGCGACTTGCATCCGTGCCTATGGTGGCGTTCGAGATTGCCTCATCGGCAAAGCTTGCGACACTGTGCTGATTTTGGTGCTCGGGTCCCTCCCGCTCCGTAAGTGAGCTGTAATTCACCACTGTCTTTGGGGTGTCATCACCGTTGCTGTCACTCCGCTCAGGCTGAGCTTTCATCGTTAACGGCGCCGTTGCGGGTGTTTTCGATGTCTCGCCTTCCCGCGAGCACGAGAAATGTTCACCACCGCCGCAACGGTGATCGTCAGGCGTCCGTCGCGGTGCTTCTAGTGGCGGCATGCTCCTCAGAAAATAATTCACACCCTTGCTGTTGGAGAACAAGGCCTCATGCTTGCAGTAGCGATCGATGTCACTCATGTCGCTTCCTTCCTCCGTTTCCTCTGAGTTGGCGTCGTCGGCCGCGTCCCCATTCCCGGCCCCGGAAGAGCCACTAGAAACAGGCGCGGCGACACTGCGGCAACCCCTGTCCGGCGTCCGTGATGGGCGGGTGGCGCTCGTGCGGGCGGCTTCAGCGGGAGGAGCAGGGGGCAAGGCAGCGCCCGTGTCGCCAGGACCGCTCTGCGCCCCGCCCAGCCCCACTTCCTCCTCTCGGTCCTCCCGCCGCGTCCCTCGTCCACACATTGGCATGATTTTTGTGACGTTGCTTTATTTATTTATGTTTCTTTTTTCTTTTTCTTTTTACCCACCGCCGGTCCAACTTGAACCCCACCCGCACCCACGCGCAGGAGCAACAGCTCTGCGCAATATCCCCCTCGATCGCTCTTTCGCCCCGGCGGCAAAAAAAAAAAAGATCAAATCAAGCGGAACAGGAACAGCGAGACGGTGTCGCGAAGGATGGCGTCGGGTCTCACCACCGAAGGGAGGGAAAAGACGTGGGGCGGGCTAATCGTGAAGCAGAGGACCAGTTGAATTTCCATGACTATTTTGTCGGGTGTAAAACAAAAAAAAAAGGGTCTCACACACGTCCGCACACAGGAGGATATGAAGAAAAAGGGGTGAAAGGAAGTAAGAACGAATTTCTATCCATTCCGTTGGCTGCTGTTTTTGTTTTTGTTTTTACATTTGTATCGCAGCGCTGTGCACGATGGACGAATAAAGAATACCGCACACATCTCAATGTCTTCCCCCCCCCTTTTTTTTACTTTCCCTTGTTGGTTAGCTTCCAATTCTCTCCTCCACACCTCATTCTGCTTCCTTCTTTCCTGCTCCTCTCCGCCTACACCTGCACAGATGCTTATGTCTGCGTGCATGGGTGCACGTTTGTTCAGACGGCCAGGGTGGGACGTACACATTGGCCCGACATCGTTTCCTCGGCACTACCCGCCACCGGGGTCACTCAGCACCGCAAGGGTAAACAGCGGCGCATTTGCAGGGGAAACCGCTACTGCGCCACGCCAACGGCGTCCGGCGCGACCGAGAAAAAAGTCAAGCATGTTCAGCAATGCATTGCCGTGATTCGCATATATGCAGCGGAAGTTTATTTTCGCTACGGGTGGCACAGCCGTCGTGTCCTCCACCGGTTTTGCTACTCCCTCGGTGACGCCCTCTGGCGGAAACCAGGGTGCCGCAGAGGAGAGCGTCGGAGGGAAGATGCTGACAAGGCCGCCCTCACTACTTGTTGCCGTGGGGTTCGCCAATTCTACGCATGTCGCACCCGTGGCCGCGGCTACCCATTGCCGCACCGCCACCCAAGTCGCCAAGACGGCGGCCCAGAGACTATACTGCAACAGCCACACTCCCAGGTGGTTCGCCTCAGTTGGGAGTATGTACCGCAGCCACGACAACCAAGGGCCGTAGGAGGCCACAGCGCGACGCGTCTCATCGCGACAAGGCAATGCGTGAATAAGCAGACTCCAGAGTGACCCAAATACCCACCCGAGAAAGGAGGAATGTTGGGGGCACTGAAGTAACTCGCTTGTCTGCTCCCAGGACCAAACAAAGGTGAGCCACTGCAAGCACGCAAAGCTTGTGACAAATATAAAGAACAAGCGATGGTTACTCTCTGCGATTGGGCAGTCAAGGGCAATGCTGTAGCCGTCAAAGCGCCGCAAAAAGACATCTCGCTCGTAGCAATAAAAGGTACGGAGTGGGATCAACATGTGCCTTTCCATGGAAAGGATACGAGGGTGCAACCAGCGATAGGCGCGCCGCCTCATGATGGCCCACAGAGGAGAGGCATCCAAAGACGACTCAGACGGCTCATGCGTAGAACGCATGGAAAGCAGCTTGCATAGCATGCCGCTCAACAACATAAGGCAGAGCAAGGATAGTAGCACAAATTGTTCCAACTCTGCCTTATTGTGAAAGAGCAAACCGAATAAACCCTTCTCTCTGGGTTGGTAAACGCTTTCAAGAGTGTGTCCTGTAAGTGCGGCTTCATCGGGACGATAGTACGTGATTAGCGGTACAAGACCCATCTTCGCCCACGCATACTGCTGCAGCAGCACAAAGGCCGTTAATGCGAGGAGAGAGGCCGCGTCACGGTCTCTGAAAAGCCAAATACCACGCGCAGATTCACCAAAACTATTCGCAATTCCTAGTTTCTGTATGGAGGAAAGCTCTGGTTTTCCCCCCTGCACAGGAAATCCAAAGAGAATCGTCCAGAGTGCATTTCGGAAGAAAAACAAAGCCACTACGAAGTGGCTAATCAGTGGAGGGATAACCTTTAGAAGCAGGTAGGAGAAGGCCACGTAGAAAAGGCCAAAGAGTGACATGACCAGGAAAATTGGCTCGCGAAGCATCATGCTCATTGTACCACGTCGCCGATTCCGACGCACCTCAGTGCAGCTTCTTCCCACCGTATTAAATGGCGAAGAGTCGCTGTGGACCGACTCATTTATGCCATTCCGCAGCGCCGCATGATTTTTCGTCAGCACGTACACTGTCTCACGGTGATTTCTGAAACGGGCATACTGAAGTGCTGTGTAATTGTTCATGTCCGCCACATCTGTACGAGCCCCGCACGAGACGAGGTACTCCACAACCACTGCGTAGCCTTCGCGGGCGGCCCAGAGAAGCGGGGTGCGTCTATTATTATCGAGCGTGTCCAACTCAATGTGACACTTTTCGACGAGGTACTGGCAAATTGCCAGGGAATTCGTGTAGGCTGCCCAGTGCAACAGGGAATGACCTTCCAAATCCCGCTCCTTCGCGTCAAGCGGATGACATTCGCATAACATGAGCAGCAAGGGCAGGTTGTTTGCCTGGACAGCCGAAAAGTACGCACTATACCCTTGAAAATCTTTTTGAAGAGGGTCGGCGCCATGATCCAGAAGTAAGCTTGTCACGTCGTATTGAACACCTGCCACCGCCCAGTGAAGCGCAGTGTGGCCTAACCCATTAGACACATTTAGTTTCACGCCCTGATCCAGCAGAAATCGCGCAACGCCTAAATTGCCACGGAGTGCGCACCACATAAGCAGTGTCGCGTCACTTCCTTCAAAGTTAACAGGACCTTCCCGCAACTCTTGGCCTTGGGCCCAGAACTTAATGACGTGGGCGAGACTGCCATAGATGCAGGCTTCTTCAATACTTGCGGGGCATCTGCGTCGCTGGCGCTCCATCGTAAGCAGCACCTCATTATATGGTTGCCAGGGTTTATATAGGCTCCCATCCATGTAGGGAAGATGCCTGGGACGGTGCTGTCGATAGTACCAGTTGCACCCGGGAAAGTATACATCAAGACCGGCTTGCCGCTGCATGAGTTCAATCGCTTCCATCTCGCCACGTTCCCACAAACACCCGCTTCCTATTCGTGACGGCTCCCTTGCCCTGGCCAGTGTCTACTGCCTCTCAGGCAGTGCAAAATATATGTGTCGCAATTTCTATAAATTCCAGCCCCACTTGGGCGTCGCAAGAGAGAAAGCTTTCAGTGGAATGTTTTTCTATCCAATGCAAAGCTAACACAGACTCACACAGAAAGAAAAAGAAAAAGAAAGAGGAAAGAAAGAAAAGAAAAAAGAACCATAACATGCACAATAAGGTATTGAATTGCAAAC